AAATCTTCTGGTTACTTCCTGCAGCATCGTGCTCTCAAGATCGTCTGTATATATTAGCTTTTCTGCATTGTCCGTAGAAAAGGTCATAACCACGCTTGCCTTCTTATATACCAGTGCACAACCAGACGATGTGTTTGCTTGTTCATTTCCCACTACACTGGCATTCCTATAGAAAATATCCAAAAGATGCTCAGTATCGGCAACCTCTGAAGCACGCCTCTCTGCACGAGACACTTCTGTCTTCACATTTCTCGGCATGCCTGGGTCAAGGCCGTCTCTATGGGAGACGGTCTGGCCTGGGTAGTCCATCACAATCACGTTTATGAGTTGAGGGGAACTCCAGTATTCGTCCACGCAATATTCGTCTTTTTTCTTTTTTATTTGTCCAATTTTTTCGTTGAAATTTGTGTTTGATAGTAGCCCGATAGAATAGTAGCACAAGAAGCGGAGACAGCAGCAGCAAAAGGAAACCTCAGAGAACTTTACAGTAACACAAGAAAATTAGTGGGTAAATATAGTCAGCCAACTGGATCAATCAAAAATAGTCAAGGAAAGGTACTTACTAACACAAGATCAAATGGACAGATGGGTTGAATATTTTGAAATGCTTCTAAATAGACCAGGCCCAGAGGTTCCCCCAGATATCCAGCCTTTAGAAATGGAACTGGATATCAACTGTGAGATACCATGCAAAGAGGAAATTAGAAAAGTATAAATCTTCTTAAGGAAGGAAAGGCGTTCAGGCCAGAGGTATCCCAGCTGAAGCCATCAGGACCAACATAAACACATCAACAGAATTGCTACATAGATTATTCAGTAAAGTCTGGGAGACCGAAGAAATACCAGCAGACTGGAGAGAAGGATATCTTGTGAAACTGCCCAAAAAAGGTGATCTACAGGAGTTTGAAAACTATAGAGGAATTATGTGTTGCTGTCAGTTCCTGAAAAATATTAAGTTAGAATTATTTTGGAAAGATTAAAAGATGCTATTGATAAAATGCTAAGAGATGAGCAGGCAGGTTTTCGGTCAAACCAGATCCTGTAATGATCAGATAGCCACATTACGTATTATAATAGAGCAAAGCATTGAACTGAACTCACCACTTTACATTGGATTTATTTAGACTATCGAAAAAGCATTGACAGCATTGATAGGGAATCTCTCTGGAAATTGATGGGGGCACTATGGAAACCCACAGAAAATTTTCAACTTAGTAAAGGCAACATATAAAGACATGAAATGTCGAGTTCTTCATGGGGGAAAGCTAACAGATTGCATTTGAAATAAAAACAGGTGTGCGACATGGATGTATTTTGTCGCCCTCCCTATTTTTACTGGCTATAGGACTGGACTATAAAAAAAAAAACAGTAACTGCTAACACCAAGAATGGAATTCAGTGGACCCCCTACAAAACAGATTGGATCTGGCGACTTTCGCTTGATGATATTTGCCCTTCTGTCCCATTTCACGAAATCAGATTACAAGATAAATTAAATATACTTATGCGAGATCACAGCAGCTAGGTCTGAAAATCCCAATAAAGGAAAGACAAGATAAATGAGAATAAATCAGCCAATAGTAATGTCGGTTTGCTTAATGGCACCCCTATCCAAGACGTGGAGTCGTACACCTAGTTGGGCAGTAATGTAAGATTAAAGAGGGAGGAACTGATAGAGATTATTAAAATAAGAAATACAAAAAGGCAAGAGGGCTTGTCATAAGCAATAGAGAATTTCTGTGAGGTCAAAAGAAATAAAAGAAACACTAAGCTAAAAAGTGTTTAATTTCTAATGTAAAATCAGAGAACTATTGTATGGGGCGGAAACATGGGAGAACAACGAAGCAATTTACTAATAAAATTACAGACACATATTAACTGGTGCCTGCGCAGCAGATCATTCACATCAGTAGCATGTCCTCGGCGGAACCTCGACGACATAACAACCCTCCGGAAAAACCTTCCTATCCTGAGCAAGATGTCCTGCGTCTGATACACCCATCTGGAGATCATCTGACACATCCTGCCCACCCATCTTCTCCTTGCGCCTTCCTCTTCCCTCTCTTCCCAGGCATATTACCCCTCCATTATTGTTCTCTCTAGACTTCCATGACGTTTCAAGTGACCAAATATTTCATTTTCTTTGTTTTTATTGTCTTTACTAGCCAACCCTCTTCAATATTCAGCTCTTGAAGTATGGATGCATTTGTTCTTTTCTTTACCCAAGATATTCTTAGAACCTGTCTGTAACATTTATATTCAAATGCATTTATGCGCTGTTCCGCTTGTGTTTAGTAAGTGTCCAGGTCTCACACAGCGTATGTTGCAATGGGAAAGATGCATGCTCTTAAAAATCTGACCTTTGTAATTCTCCATCTGTACAATTCCATAATTTATTCAGTTGTTTTAGTCTTTGAAGAGCAATTGATAGTCGCCGTTTAATTTCTTTCATTGTGTCACCATTGTTGGTAACCAGTGACCCAAGTATTCGAAATTTTCCACCACTTCCAATCTTTCATCATTAACATATATTTCCTTCTCCATGGCAGTTTTGTTTGTATGCATTATCTTTGTTTTTGCTATGTTAAGAAATAAGTTATGATTTTCACTATTTCTTTGGAGTGAGGTTAATAAGTTTTCTAAACCATTTTGTGATGTTGATAGTAATACTGTATCATCAGCATAACGAATTTCTGGTATTTCATGACCACCGATGTTTAGGGCATCATATTGTTCCTTGTTTATATCATCTCTTACATTTCTCATTATATTTTCGGCGTACAGGTTGAACAAATACGGTGACAGCACACATCCCTGACGGACTCCTTGCTTGATGCCAAACCAGTCTGATGTCTCTCCATCTATTCTGACTGCTGCTTGTTGGTCTTGATAGAGCATTTTAATGAGCTGCACTATATGTGATGGAAAGCCCATATTCATCATGAGTTCCCAAAGCTTGCTGATGTTGTACATCAGGTCAAATGCCTTTTGAATAATCCACAAAACATAAGAACAGATTTTACATTAAATTCTCTACACTTATCTATTATGTAAACGCAGTTTAATAATAGAGAATAGAGAATAGCGCAGGAATAGAGGGAATAAAATTGTATGATAGGAAATAACTAATGTAGAATTTGGGAGAGAAACCCTAAAACAGGCTCCAGTGGATCAGGAGGTGATGGAAAAGACGCTGAGTGGATCACACACTGCAGAAAACAGTGGAGAACAGCACATAACTAGAATGTCTTTGCAATGGAACCCAAGGGGCATAGGTAATAACAGGAAGAGCCAAAAAACACATAGAGCAAGATTGCTGAGTCTGGAAGAATGAGGATTAGGAAAAAGATTCGGGAGGGAACATGGGGAGAGCTCCATGTAATGGTCGAAGGATTAGAACACGACTTGGCGTGAGTTTTTGTTGGAGGGCATATGCTCCATTGGGGGGATTAAAAAGCAGAAGAAGAAGAAGAAGTAGACGAAATCTTAGCACTAAATCGTAAAAAGTAAAAAACAAAATATAATTTAAAAACATCCCTCCTAATCGAAATTTGTGTTGACTGTTCGAGTGCTAAGACCAGAAAGAAAGAAGATAATGGTCTGGTTGCAAGTGCTGAAATTAAGAAATGACTGTTCACTAGCGTGAAAATGCAGGTTTCTATCGAGAATTGACACCTGAGCATCGCTATAGTTAATAAGCCCATCAATCCATTGATGACTTGATGACTGTGTTTAGACACTTTCATAACATTTTTATTCTCTCCAGATCAATGCTAGTGTGTTGGAAAATGTGCAGGTGGATAGACCGGCCGGTTCTGCACCATTAAATGATGAACTAATGTATGACAAGCTAGATGTTGTGAAATCCCTTTGGGAGCGAGTGAAAAGTGCGGATGCACAAATAGATCATTACGGTCTGAGGAGAATGACGCTGCGGGTAGTTCCCAGGGGATCTGGAAAACGCTCAAAGTTCAGGGAAAATGCGAGTTGAATATTCAATAAGTTACTAGAACCATCAGAATTGGAACTCTTCGCTTGCTGTTAAAGATGTGGACGGAGCGCTTATGGGAGTGTCCCGAGTGCCGTGATGTCAATTCTTATTCCTAATTCAACATACATTCAGAAAATGTTGATAAACAAACAAGACAAACATTGAATGATTAAAAAATAAATTAAAAAAAAAGTTTTGGTGAATCTGGAAATGCTGCGGAATTAGTAGGACACGAAATCACCAAAGTGACGTCACTTGATGACAAAATGGAAGATGAATACGTTCCAAACAATAGCCTTTTTTTTTGTTTTGATGCAAAAGTTAAATTAATTTTTTTTTTTTAAAATAATATGTATGTCAAATTATGTAGACCAACGGTATATGTACGTCACCAGGATGAGTAAATCTCTGTCACAATGATGAGGCAGTAATAAGTAATGTGGTTAATATGTTATTAAATTGCATTTGCAAAACTTTTTGAGACTGAGTTTTGAGTGCAATTATTGTTTAATAAACTATATAGATGGGCAAAATTTGGAACTGGGAACCGAACCATTTTCAGAGGTTTTTAAAAAAAAAATATTTGTCCTTGCTAATATTTGTCCTTGCTAATATTTGTCCTTGCTAATATTTGTTCTTGCTAATATTTGTCCTTGCTAATATTTGTCCTTGCTAATATTTGTCCTTGCCCCAGGAACGGATTAATGAAGAATATTAAAGTTCCACTGTATATTACAATTCTGGAAGGTAGCAGTGGTATGTTGCACATTTCTTACTACTCCAGGCTGAATAACGAAACAACACATTTTATATTACAGTTTAATTAATGGTAAAGTCAACAGATCAACAGAAAGTGTTTGAAAACAAAAATCTGTATTATTCTGTCTCAAATTGTTAGTCTTGTTTCGTGAGAAAGTTCTCGTGGTTCTAGTTTTGTCTACACTTCAACACTAAATGTAAAATGGAAGACTAGACACGGTTATTGAATGAGAGAAATAATAAACCAAAGTCATCTATGAACTAAATTCTGTGTTCCAACCTTGTCAGTTGTATCGCCGTTTGGACTTTGAATCACGTCGTCTGGTTCCGGACTGTCGTCATCAGACATGCTGAGATCGTTGTCGAAGTTTGACAGATCTTCTCCAGCGTTGAAGCTTGCAGTTTCTCCATCAGCGTAAATGTCTACCGACTCCTCTTCTGGTTCCCCCAGAGAAGGCAAGGCCACAACCGTTGACCTAAGAGCATCGAGTATATTGGGATGGGGACAGTGCAGTTTCTTCTGCCCTGGAATAAACTTTAAGTCCTGATGCTGTGCTGGAAGGATGTACTGGTGGATGTAGGTTGGGCAACCTCGAGGATCGTGGGTTTTGGGGTTCGCTGGCGGGTTCCAGAATTCTCTTTGTCCTATGGAGATTGGTTTTTCACGGTTTAGTGCGATCTCTTCCATCAACCAGGAGGTCAGTTCTTCTGAGAAGTAGTTGGAGAAAAGCTGCTGGATTTTGGTGTCAGTTCGCGCCAGCTTGACCTATTGAGATATGAAAAGGATCAGATGTAGCGCTTTCTTGGCCAACAAAAACATTTTAAAACCTACAGGCCTGTTTGTGGATGCTAAATTAAGCCTACACCTGATGCTGCTACTGAAACTACTATTACCATTAGTACTTCTTCTGTTCCTTTTTGATACTACCAATAATATACTACTACTATTACTACTACTACTCTGCTACTACTATTACTACTACTACTACTACTACTACTACTACTACTACTACTACTACTACTACTACTACTACTACTACTATACTACTACTACTACTACTACTACTACTACTACTACTACTACTACTACTCTGCTGCTGCTGCTACTATTACTACTACTACTACTACTACTACTACTACTACTACTACTACTACTACTACTACTACTACTACTACTACTACTACTACTACTACTACTACTACTACTACTACTACTACTACTACTACTACTCTTCTGCGGCTGCTGCTTCTACTACTACTACTACGACGACGACGACGACGACGACGACGACGACGACGACTACTACTACTACTACTACTACTACGACGACGACGACGACGACTACTACTACTACTACTACTACTACGACGACGACGACGACGACGACGACGACGACTACTACTACTACTACTACTACTACGACGACGACGACGACGACTACTACTACTACTACTACTACTACTACTACTACTACTACTACTACTACTACTACTACTACTACTACTACTACTACGACTACTACGACTACTACTACTACTACTACTACTACTACTACTACTACTACTACTACTACAGCTACTACTACTACTACTACTACCGATAAACTAATATACTACTCCCATTTTCTACTACAACTGATGATGATCATTAGGACTGACGATGATGAGGATACTACTGGTATACCACTGCTACTTCTGATGTTGCTGCTGCTACTACTACTTTATCTTTAACTGAAAATAATTTTTGCACAATTACTAATCACAATCATCAACTTGAAAAATCTCATACACTATTAACAAGAATGTGGAGGGAAACAAAAGTTAGTTGTGCATCCTTTACAGGACGTTGCAGAATCAATCCCAGCATTTGTTGGCTGTTGTGGTTTGTCTAGGCAGATTTTACATTCAGTAGTTCTCGGTACCAGGCCTTGATTACAGACAGAGCCATGAATTTGCAACAGCATCCCACATTCATGAATGAAGAATGTAAATCAAATAATTTGAGAATCAACATCGAAAAGACAGAAGTAATGTCAGTAGGAAGAAAGAAGCAGGATTTAAACATTGCATTAGAGCATTCATATATTAGACAGGCATCTTAGTTTAAATATCTTGGAACAACATTCACTGAATACAGTAAACTGGACGAAGACATTGACATCCAAGGCAGTAAAGCTAAGTATTGGGACAACTAGCTCCCCTCTTACAGCATAAGGCAATCTCAATCAGCACAAAGAAACATCTCATACATAGCATATTCATTCCCACCCTATTCTACCAGTGCCAGACGTGGTCACTCACAAGAAAACATAAATAACAATTAGTAACCATGGAAACGAGGTGTCTGAGAAAGACTGTAAGAGCGACTAGAAGAGATAAAATCAGGAATATGGTCATACGAGATAAAGTCGGCACAGAACTAATTCTAAATTACATACAAAGACAGCAAATCAAATGGTTTGCCCACGTGGAGAGAACGCCTTCTGATGATATACCATAGAAGGCATATACCATAAGAGGAGAGAGGCCTAGACCAAGAACAAGATGGGAAGATACTATCAGAGAAACTCTACAGCACCACGACGTGTCTATGGTCGAAGCAGCCAGAAAAGCACGAAGCAGGGCTTTATACCTCCATCGACAACCGGAGCGGTGAAAGAGGACGTAAAGAAGAAAAGGAAGAAGTTCTTGGTACGACTGCCGAAACCAATGTAAGACGTTCTGGTGGGGGTATAATAACATCCCCTTGGGAAACTTCATTGCACCCCACCCCTCCCCCAACCCCTCTTCTGGAGTTAAAACTACCGCTTTAGATAGAAAGAACAATCATAGGATTCTGGGAAAAGTGCGTATGCATCGATCCTCAGAATGCCAGAAAAGAGTAAAGAGCGACACAGCGAGGCATGAGAGGCATACTGGGCGTACGAAAAGTGTTTTCAGCCAGCAAGCACAGGACTGGTACTGTAAACCAGAGGACGCTGATATATGTGTCGAAAAGGGAATCTGAACACCCAAGGACGTGTCCGGAGTTCTGTGAAGACAGCCCAGCATCTATCCTTTTCTGTAGTTTCTTCTGACTAGTTGCTACGGAGACGGTGTCATAAGCATAATCATAACAAGTAAAGGACCCTTTCCACGCCTTTACAGGTACTGGGCATATAGGGTTAGACCTATATTTTACAGACCATGCGGCACTCTGTAGGTGATGTGTTCAACATCACGTAGGCCGCCTTTACTTTCCAGGACTTTACCTGGTACCTATTTAAGGCCTGGTCGACCTGGGGGTCAAGGTAAGTTTTGATAAGTAAAGTCCTGCTCCGTTCAGTCGTGAACCCACCACCTTTTGATCTTCAGGCGAGCGGTTAGCCACTACATCACTGCGGCTCCCTGTCAATAGCATAAGGTATCATTTTTTTGTCGGCTCTGTGGCTAAGTCGATGCGAACGCTTCGTAATAAAAGAGTAATGCCGGGTTCGATCCCACCTGCGGGCCATGCGCCTTGCATTGGTTTGGACAGTGGTATCAAGAAAGCCGACCGTCCAGAGGCAATGGCAAACTACTGGACGTAAATCTGCCTAGAAAAACCACACAACAGCAAGGGGCTGTTGGGGTTGGTTCTGCAACGTCCTGTGAAGGATACGCAACTAGCCTATCATTTTTTAAAATATTTATTTCTGCCACTAACGGTGGTCCCTGGCATATCCTCTACACTGCAATCGATTTGCAGTAGATTAAATCTACTGACCACTCTAATTTTCGGACTGGCAGAGATCCAGACATTGTAGTAGTCATACTGGAGAACTTGTCGCTGTCTGTGGCTTGGGCGTTGCGAACGCGCTTCGTAATGCCGGGGTGTCGGGTTCGATCCCAGCTGCAGGTGATTACACAGCAGATAGTCTTGCGATGATTTCGAAAGTGGTAGCGAGAGGTAACTGTTTAGTGGGCAACGACAAACTATTAAACGTAATATTTTGCCTAGAAAAAGAACAACGGCCGAAAATGCTGAGGTTGGTTCTGCAACGTACTGTAAAAGATACGTAACTAACTAACTAACTAGCTTAACTGGAGAACTTGGAGTTACTGACAGCTAGAGAGAGCAAAGTAAGGCAGTTGCGTGTCCATTACTTGACGTTGCAGATCCAACCCCAGCATTTTGTGGCTGTTGCACAACTGGATGGTTTATGGTTTAAACAACGGATCAACATCATGGCATGAGTGCTCCACTTTACTTGTAACTCAAGCCTGAGTCCGAAGAATCTCAGCACAGTGCACGAACTCCGTAGCACCGGCGAGGATCCTGAAATATTTGGGTAGATTATTTACTCAAAATGTTGCCCGGCAGCGCTGTTAGACTTCTCTGTTCGATCTCCAACTGCCAAGGGATTTTTTACGTGCGCAACGATACACACGGTCGTCCGATTTTACTACCCAGACACCAGGCGAAATTACTAGAATCTCGTGTGAAAAAAATCCCAACCTTCACCTGTGCTTGAAGCCAGAACCTCCAGCACCATGCCTCGATACCACTCAGTCCCCCTGTTGGAGCTATCATAAACTGTACACACTTGGTTGTGTGTTAAAGTTTTAAGAGGAGATACATGTCGCAGACAAATTTGAAAGAGAGCGCAGAAAAATACTTTGAGACGGAAATCGCGCGCAATAAATGAGTGGCAGGGACACACAAACGCAATTAGGGACCGGATCTAAGTGGGTACAAATTCCGGAGTTTACAACCGGTAAACCAGAGAAAAAAGTTTGCTGGCCACAAACCGCGGGTAATCAACTCTCTGGGATCGCAGCGAGTTTCATATCATGCTATTATTTTGTGATTACTACGTGCCGGCTCGGCTCTTGGATTCAAAGCCAATCGATAGGGCACATTTTAGCTCAGTCTGGGGGCGGGTATGGGGGTGGGGGGGGAGGATGGAAGTGGGGGGGGGGGGCGACTCTAAGGACCGGGTAGGGTGGATGTGTATTTGTGAAGGGACAAGGGTGGTGAATAAGGCAAATAAAACTGAGAAAGAAGTTAGAAGTGGATTGTCTTCTTCTTCTTCTTCTTCTTCTTCTTCTTCTTCTTCTTCTTCTTCTTCTTCGTCTTCTTCTTCTTCTTCTTCTTTCTTCTTCTTCTTCTTCTTCTTCTGTTTCTTCTGTTGTCTTCTTCTTCTTCTTCTTCTTCTTCTTCTTCTTCTTCTTCTTCTTCTTCTTCTTCTTCTTCTTCTCTTCTTCTTCTTCTTCTTCTTCTTCTCTTCTTCTTCTTCTTCTCTTTCTTCTATCTTCTTCTTATTCTTCTTGGTCTTCTTCTTCTTCTTCTTCTTCTTCTTCTTCTTCTTCTTCTGTCTTCTTCTTCTTCTTCTTCTTCTTCTTCTTCTTCTTCTTCTTCTTTTCTTCTTCTTCTTCTTCTTCTTCTTCTTCTTCTTCTTCTTCTTCTTCTTCTTCTTCTTCTTCTTCTTCTTCTTCTTCTTCTTCTTCTTCTTCTTCTTCTTCTTCTTCTTCTTCTTCTTCTTCTTCTTCTTCTTCTTCTTCTTCTTCTTCTTTTTCTTCTTTTTCTAATTCTCTTTCTTCTTTATCATCATCATCATCACCCTCACCACCTTCTTCTTTTTGTCTTGTTGTTCTTTTTTTTTCTTCTTTATTATCATCATCATGTTCTTTTGCTACTGTTTAACAGTTACTTCTGCTGCTTCTGATTTCCCCTTCTTGTCTGTGTGTGCACGTATGGACAGAAAGCCGGTAGAAACCATGCCATGGAGTAGTAAATTATTATCTACCGTACATTGATATGTATCAGACAAACGGTTGCATCACTCTATTTTTGTTTTACCTATTGCTATTTTGTTTACACTCCTGTTGGTCACGTGGTTGATTGAAAAAAAAAAAGAAGGAAAGAAAAGAGATTTTGATGGCGTTCATGTAGTTTATACATTGTATCGATTATAATTATGGTCTTTATATGATTATTCTTTTTTTATTATAGGGTTTACTGAATTCACATTTCGTGCTTCTGTAGAATATCTGTGGTGTGTGTGTGTGTGTGTGTGTGTGTGCGTGCGTGTGTGTGTGTGTGTGCGTGCGTGTGTGTGTGTGTGTGTGTGTGTGTGTGTGTGTGTGACTAATCAACGTATAAGCAGTGCTTTTTTTATATTTTACGCTGGGGTTTTCTGGCCAGTGTCTATCGGGACAATCTAAGGAGACTTCCATTGTCGGTCACATGATGTAATTCCGTTGTGTAGCCAATGAGAGCTAATCCCTAGCAAGGCTGTCAAAACTGGTACTTCTTTCCTACAAATCTGGTACTTCTTGACCCTTGTCGAGCAAAACTATACTTCCGGTACCACGCCCGATGTTTGGGTACGTTTTAGAAAATGTGCACCAATAGTTTAAATTGTGGTACTGAACGCTGGATCCAGTAGGTGCTACTGAAGGAAGATCGATATCAATGATGCCACTGGTCGTGCAATTTCCCAGCCTTGTTAAAGAACATTATCAACAGACAAATGAAGAATGCAGGAAACTAATAGTGTAAGATCAAACCTTATGCTAAAACAGCACAAGCTAAATTTTCAAGGTTTTTTTTTACTTAACTTTAAAATGGGAGCCGCGTTAGCGCAGTCGATAAGAGGCCCGCTTTAAAATCCAGCTGCGACTCGCTGCAGCCACGGTCGGTTTTCGAAACCGGGCGGCTCCCGGGGTTCACCCAGCCTCTAGGAAATGGGTACCAGAGTTAACACTCTGGGGTAATTGGAGGAACGTCGCTGTAGCTACAGAGTTACGTACGAACGGTGACACAGGCGGACAATTCTTATCAGCTGTCAATACTGGTGGCAGAGCACTTATGGTTTATAGCCGTGTGCAATGAAGCAGGTTCACATCTCCCGACTTCACCTTTTTTACTTCAAAAATGTTTTACCTTTTGGTGTGTTTCAGTACCTTTCCACACAGAATATTTGGTACCGCTCCCCAAAAAATTTACACAAGGGAAATGAATGATCGTATAGACCACGAGTCAGACCAAGAAGAATATGGAGAGATAATGTCCAGACAGGCCTGCAAACACTTGATGTCACCAACCAGAAATAGAAAGCCAACCAGAGGGATGAATGGAGGCGGGTGATATCTGCAGCAATGAACCTCAAAGGCTCGGAATGCTGAAAAAGGCCAGCCAGAGAGATGAATAGAGGCTGGTGATATCTGCAGCAGTGAACCTCAAGGGCTCGGAATGCTGAAGAAGGCCAGCCAGAGAGATGAAGGGAGGTGGGTGATATCTGCAGTAATGAACCTCAAGAGCTCGGAATGCTGAAGAAGGCCAGCCAGAGAGATGAATGGAGGCAGGTGATATCTGCAGTAATAAACCTCAAGAGCTCGGAATGCTCAAGAAGAAAAAGTTTCCCAAACATCCTGCGGCAGTCTTGGTCCCTACCTGTACAGATAGCCTTGGGTAATAATTCCCTCTGGCCAGTCTCATCTTGCCGTCAACAGTGCCCATCGCGGCCACGTTAACCTCCCAAAACACTTTCTACTACCCATTTTATACTGGGTCGACCTTGGAACCTTGGTAAAGTTTAAAAATCCAACTGGACGGAGATTCGAGAACCTCTGACCCCAGAGTGTATCCGAATTCTCTTACCTTGGCCACCGTTCCGGGTGACAAGAGCTTCTTCAGCGCCTTCCAGACTCCGTGGAATAAAGAGTTATGGTTGACGCAGATGACCAGGCCTAACCTCTCTGGGTAGTGACTGCTGAGAACGTTGTTTATACTAAAGCCTAGCTTTGGGTTGCAGGCACTCAGGGTCATATCTGTAAAAGAGATGATCATACAGTTAATTCAAAATCATATCTGTACCATAAATACTATTTAAGTAAGCATACACGAATTCACATGTACAATCAAATAGAAACAACTGTACATTCAAAGACGAGCACACAAGAACTCACCTGTACAGTCAATGATAAACACCTGTACACTCAAAGACAAGCACACAACAACTCACCTGTACAGTCAATGATAAACACCTGTACACTCAAAGACAAGCACACAAGAACTCACCTGTACAATCAATGATAAACACCTGTACACTGAAAGACAAGCACACAAGAACTCACCTGTTCAATCAATGATAAACACCTGTACACTGAAAGACAAGCACACACAAACTCACCTGTACAGTCAATGATAAACACCTGTACACTCAAAGACAAGCACACAAGAACTCACCTGTACACCTGTCAATAGATAAACACCTGTACACTAAAACACTTGTACAAAGACAAGCACACAAGAACTCACCTGTACAGTCAATGATAAACACCTGTACACTCAAAGACAAGCACACAAAACTCACCTGTACAGTCAATGATAAACACTGTACACTCAAAGACAAGCACACAAGAACTCACCTGTACAGTCAATGATAAACACTGTACACTCAAAGACGAGCACACAAAAACTCACCTGTACAGTCAATGTTTAACACCTGTACACTCAAAGACAAGCACACGCAAACACACCTGTACACTCAAAGACAAGCACACAAGAACTCACCTGTACAGTCAATGATAAACACCTGTACACTCAAAGACAAGCACACACAAACTCACCTGTACAGTCAATGATAAACACCTGTACACTCAAAGACAAGCACACACAAACTCACATGTACAGTCAATGTTTAACACCTGTACACTCAAAGACAAACACACAAGAACTCACCTGTACAGTCAATGATAAAACCCAGGTAGTTACTCCATTCTCCATGGTAGCCTTGGCGTTCTCTATAAGGTAGGTCACGTGGCCGATAATGTCTTCAGCGTTATTCTTCCTCACCGAGGCCTGGCAGAAGTTGGCGTAGACCACAGGGCGACCCGACTCATCGTGTCCAATTTGTCGCTAGCAGATAGGGACAAAACACAATTATTTATTCAGTTGATTCGGTTCGATTCAAATACCGACATCACAGCACTTCGGGGAATACCCATAGGCGGCGCGTCCCCACCTTCAGCAGCGAACTCAGTTCCCATAGTAATGGTAATGCTAAGCAGTCTGATTATATGTTCATCTGGCTCTTCCTCTGAGCATCGAGTATCGGCCAGATCTCCTGTCACTCCTCGTTGCATCACTCTCACCAGACTGTGATGATCTATTGGCTCCTCCGAATTGTACACGGGCTCCAATAATGCCTTGACCACGTCTGCCTTATCATGCACCAGTATTCAGTTTGTCTCTACTACTATTAGACTAGAAAAATATAATCAATACAAGAAGTAGAACTAGTTTGCTTCACAATATCATAACCACGAATGACAAGTAAACATTGCGGCTAGAGAACCTTCATCAGCACATGACACGAATAGACAATGTTTACTCTTTCAGTCCCAAGCAACATGTGACATGTTATTAACATTTATGTAAATCCCACTCAACATGTAATCAGCAGCCTCGACTTCTAGTCCGTTCCCTTTTAGCTTTTCACAACATAGGGACTACTTGACCAAATCTGCCTTTCCCAGTATCCAGTTTTCGTCTCTCTGTAAATCAATAGCCTGGTAGACAATACCCTAGTGATTCTTCACGATATCACAATGGCGAATCTCTGGTAAAACGGCTAGATACTGGTCATCAGTCAGGGAATAGACAAATTTCAATCACAGAATAGCATCCTAGATTTACGTTAAAAGCACTGTTTATTTACACGAAAAGACAACAGCCTTGTCTAATTATCGATTACAGCATCACCAGGCAGCCGACGCAAAGAAAACGCTGGGGATATTACCCCCTTTATAACTTCCAGACGTGACCAGAGAGGCTTGAAGGGTCTCGATTAAGTGTGCAATAATAACCACAATTATTACTAATACTATCATCTGCCGCAAGGTAAATAAATATAAAAAAAAACATCAGGGATAACATTTGTGCCCTTGGCACCAACTTGTCACCTCCCACGACGCTTGGCTGCAGACCTGATGCTAATGATGATGATGAATGTATTGACAAGTTACAATTTATTCTTTCTGCTGCTTGTCGTATAAAAATGTCACATGCTTTGAACATACGTTGTTCTGTTGTCAACAGTCATTCCATGTAATTTGGACAGAATAAGGTTTCCCACATACACTGATTGAGGAAAATCTGAAAAAAACCAGGTCTTAATATGTCATTGCACTACAGTCACTCTGAAAAGATTGGAGGCAGGAAATAAAAACCTACCATAGAGTGAAACCCTGGCCTGTCGCGACACCAGTGGCAGTCTTGTGTCAGTGGTCGAGTCTGTCGACGATACTCCACTGTGTTGAGTAAAGCTTTCTCTGCCTCCTTCAGTTTCCACTCACAGGCCTTTAGAAAGCGGACGATACTAGGGGGAAACGTGCATTTTTTATACAGTTAAAATATTTGTGAACATTTGAATGTTTATATAGACACAACATTGGTTAATATATTAATTTGTTGATAGGCATAACAATACAGACTATATAAATGTCTAGACAGTCACAGCACTGGGGAAAATATTAATGTCTAGACATTCACAGCACTGGGGAATATATTAATGTTTAGACAGTCACAGCACTGGGGAATATATTAATGTTTAGACAGTCACAGCACTGGGGAATATATTAATGTTTAGAAAGTCCCAGCACTGGGAAATAAACAGATGCTTGTAGTGCTTCAACACTGGGAATATATGGCACAAAACGAGGAAATATATACATGTTTATAAAGTTATTAAGAGACGAGTCAAATGAGTAAGGGACAGTGAACCACCTGTTAGAAGTGGGTACTAAACAAGGACAAGTATGTAGTCACTTGTTAGGAGGGGAACGAGTGTGGGAGGGGGGGGGGGGGGGGGGGTCTTTTCTAAAAAAAAAAAGTCCTATAGTTTCTTCAGCATGAAGTCACTGGGATGGCTGTTGCATCGAAGTATGGAGCATGAATGGGTCGGACCCATGTTCTAGGATGCTGCTGTTTGAAAGATCAAAACACTGGGAAATATATAAATGTAAAATCAAAACACTGGGAAATATATAAATGTAAAATCAAAACACTGGGAAATATATAAATGTAAAATCAAAACACTGGGAAATATATAAATGTAAAATCAAAACACTGGGAAATATATGAATGTTTATCAGATCAAAACACTGGGAAATAAGTAAATTTTTATAATATCAGAACACTGGGAAATATATAAATGTTTATATGGTCACAACGCCGGGGAATATATCAATTTTTATTTGGTCACAACGCATGGGAATATATAAATATTTATATGATCACAACGCTGGGGGATATATAAATGTTTATTTGATCATAACGCTGGGGAATATATAAATGTTTAAATGATCACAACGCTGGGGAATATATACATGTTTATATGGTGGCCTCACCGGTGAGAATTTAAATGTTTACAGTCACAACCTTGGGCACCACAAGAATGTTTCAACAGTCACAACACTGGGGGCACCACAAGGATGTTTTAACAGTCACAACACTGGGAGCACCACAAGAATGTTTCAACAGTCACAACACTGGGGGCACCACAAGAATGTTTCAACAGTCACAACACTGGGGGCATACATGGATGTTTGAACAGTCACAACACTGGGGGCATACATGGATGTTTTAACAGTCACAACACTGGGGGCATACATGGATGTTTTAACAGTCACAACACTGGGGGCATACATGGATGTTTTAACAGTCACAACACTGGGGGCATACATGGATGTTTTAACAGTCACAACACTGGGGGCATACATGGATGTTTTAACAGTCACAACACTGGGGGCATACATGGATTAGTCTGGGCTGACACTGAGAATGCTCATGCGCTTGTGATGCTCAGCTGTACAAAGTAATGCCCCGCTAAAGCGCTCAGCTGTACAAAGTAATGCCCCGCTAAAGCGCTCAGCTGTACAAAGTAATGCCCCGCTAAAGCGCTCAGCTGTACAAAGTAATGCCCCGCTAAAGCGCTCAGCTGTACAAAGTAATGCCCGCTAAAAAGCGCTCAGCTGTACAAAGTAATGCCCGCTAAAGCGCTCAGCTGTACAAAGTAATGCCCCGCTAAAGCGCTCAGCTGTACAAAGTAATGCCCCGCTAAAGCGCTCAGCTGTACAAAGTAATGCCCCGCTAAAGCGCTCAGCTGTACAAAGTAATGCCCCGCTAAAGCGCTCAGCTGTACAAAGTAATGCACTCAGCTGGACTAAGTAAAGCCCCGCTAACGCGTCACTGTACAAAAGTAATGCCCAGCTAAAAGCGCTCAGCTGTACAAAGTAATGCCCGCTAAAGCGCTTAGCTGTAAAAAGTAATGCCCCGCTAAGCGCTAAGCGGTACAATGTAAGGCCGCCGCTAAGCGCTCAGCTTTTGTACAAAGTACTGCCCGCTAAAGCGCTCAGCTGTCACAAAGTAATGCCCCGCTTAAAGCGTCTCAGCTGTTACAAGAATGCCCCGCTAAAGTGCTCAACGTTTCAAGAATTGTGCTTCGTCACCCAATGAGACATGCAGCAGCTGCCTGAAACTGCCCTTGGACTCATGCATCCGTACAAACCATCTTGTAGACGATTGATTCGAAAGTGCCAACCCCATAAACATCTATTCCCGTCCCAGCAAAGACATGTCACAAACATGCGTGCTGATTCATTCTTTAAAAGATGACTGAATGGGGTATTGGGGAGGCCAAAAGGGGGAGGAGGTTGGGGGGGGGATTGAGATTAGGCTAACATAAACTAAGCGGCCTATGATGTTGTGATAACTTCATACTAACATTTTGTTCTTGTTCTGTATTTTTTTTTTTATTTCATGGTTATAATTGCTAAAACTATTTTTAAAATGTCAGTATAGTTTTAAAAAACATAGCATTCATAGACCGATACTCGGTATCGGTAAATAGTAAGTGTCAAGAGGTAACTTCTATACCACAAAAACACGATCGATTCTTTATTTATGAACGGAAACGAAACACTTCAAAAACTGGCAGAGGTAGCCGAAGAGGGCATCGAGCTGGCTTTGGACGCACGAAACAACGTAGGGGACGGGCCTCCTCCCCCTCGGTGAGCTGGGTCCGGGTGTTCTAGTGGAAAGAGTTGGTCATCCCTTGAAAGTCCATTCGTGTCGAATTGTTTGCCAGTGATCCTCTGCCACCTGCTAAACAAAGTCCAACATGTGTCCGGTAAACCAATCGTAAGCTTGTCGCTCGGTCCTCCAGGGATGCTGACTGTTTCTAATTTGGCTACCGCGATGACTTTTATCTACAGTACCTTATGCAAATCACCAGTGTTTGTCCTACCCAAGAAAAA